GCTAAATTACTCCCCGTTGGAAGTTCGATTCATTGTGATCAAGGTCGTTTATCAAGATTCGCCGTTCAGTCAGAGATCAGCTCGATGATAGAGGACAATCAGGACATTTGTCGGGTCATTAGCATCGCGGTGGCGAACGGTAGACGGTCTGCTGCGCCAGCCAAGTCCAACTGGCACGCCGTTCCACCTGCTACCCTCGCCGACTGATTAATGGTGTCACCATGGATCGCACGTTTCGATGGCACTCTTATACGTGAGATACCATCGTTCGTATATGGGATCTGAACAGCTACTGTGGGACAGTAACTGATTACGGACACAAAAGGTCTACACTCTAACTATTCTGTTCTCCATCCTTCATGAATCCTTGTATCTTTCAACTGACAATGGTTAAATGGTACACCAGTGCAAGACATTCAGGTTCTAAATTCCTGGGATCTTGGTTCCCATTTTTTATGGATTCTGTAAATATCATAAATAAATAAGAAGTTAAATCAATTGTACTAGATTACTTGAAAAATAAGCCGCGGTTTCTCACGATTTACGGAAATTGATCTGGCTTTATGAATCTCCCTCTAGCGGCAAGGTTTCCCTTATTTATGAGCAAAGTGCGAGAAGAAACGAAGCTCTCCGTAAATCGAATCCTGAGAACCAGACACCTTGAAAAATTGAGGTAATATAAAATAGCAAAGAAACGCTATCACACTGGTTCCACAATATAATACTCTTACACATCCATCTCGTTCATTTTCCGCTTTCGTTTGATCGGTTTATAACTTCATCATTGTCCCGCAGAAACGAAGTGCGCTATGTTTAAAAAAAAAAAAAAAAAAAAAGAAGAGAGACAATATCAGGTAGAAAGAAGGTCTAAAGGGGCTTGTAAATATGCAGAGCACAGTATCCACGAAAATTCGTTAGTAGAGGTAACCCCATACACAATCTACATATAAATTACGGCCAATCACCGGATCATCGCGTCGGTTGTCCTGATCAGAATCTCAGAAAGCGGTCGTGCGAACTTTTACCAGATCCTCGGCACACGGACTCGTCGAATATCGCTTTGGATAGGTCGTCGATAGAAGTATGAGAAGGGTCAACCGTGCTGGAAAGTATCATTGAAATGAAAAAGTATCGGACGAGCATCGAGGCTGATTTTTACGTACGATTGGATCGCAATATCCCGCAGCACAATATCCCTCTCTTTGGGGCTAGACTGTGAATCGTTTACGAGAATGATTGCCAGTGTCGATACTAATAACCGTGCTCGACGATCGAGGATTGCTGGGCGACAACCGATTGCCGACTGAAAACGTAGACAGAACGACGTTTGATACGTTGAATCAACGACAAGAATTTTGGGAAATTATTTTTCAATAAAACCTTGCTTCTTAATCGGCCCTGCGATAGTTCGTATCAGTAGAAGCGGTCTTAAGGTGTCAGACGAGTAAAGGGTGTGGACACAAGAGAAATCCAGTCCAAGTAGAAAAGTCCAACAAGAAAGCGTCCAGTATGAAAAAAGCTAATGGACTCGCAGAGTAGATCCACGAACGTCGGCTACGTTAAAAAGACGGAATAACAGCTGGGAATCTGGAATGCCAGTCCGTCGTGAGAAGCAACGGACGAGGAGCAGGGAAATTTCACTTAGCGAACGAGCTTCGAGCAAGTATGGTTTCATGGTAGAGAGGTTTTTATTTGCAAAAGATACCTTCAGTGAGAATTTCCTCAAATTTTGAAGAATTTCATTCTAATTAAATTAAAGCGTTAATAGGAAGTGCCGCGGTGTTAAAAAAAAATAGTGAACTGCTGGGACAGAGATAATTTAAATTTAATTTTAGGCTCTATTTTGATAATGATTTCACTTATAAATGACAACTAGATTATTAATTTAAGCTGAAACAACATTGTATATGTAAAGGGGTTAATTTACAGAAGCCAAACGTAGGATCGCAGGGAAATGAATATTCTCGTTTCGTGGAATCACACGTCCTTTGAGAGGGCTCCTGTAATTGCGAGGTTTGAGTGGGATCGATATCAGATTCATGGTATTTTGGGTCAGGATACGAGAGAAGTAATAACAGGCCGAGACCGTTCGAATGATTCGCAAGAGATATTGCTCTCGGACGTTACTCACGTGGGACTTGTAATGAAATTCTCTTGCATAGTAACTCCGACCGCAGTCTGGTCTCCTTTGCTCTTGCACTTTCTGCTTGACACGCGTGGACACACTTGTATGTACACGTCACAACTGCGAGACACACGTTCGTGTGTGTCCGTCGCTTGGAAACGTGGAGGTCCAATGTTCTTGCCTCTCTTGCATTAAAAATAGATCATCTTGACGTACAAGAAGAAGTTGACATCGACCCGTGTGGTTAATAACGGAGTGAGTAAAAAGGGAAACAAACTACTATCTTGAAACAAAATACGAATTTCAATATTTTTACAAGAAATATTTTTACACTTCGGAATTTCAGCGGTAATAATCATCTGTGTAGTCGTTGATAGTTGTCCATGTGTTAACAAGAATGACTGAAAGCAACCGAGCGGAAAACTGCGTTGTTTCTGACTCGTTTCGAGAAGAAAGGAAACAGAGCCTCGAACATCCTATTTCTCTCGTTTTCTCTCGGAGTAATTGCAGCCAGAACGGTTGATAAGGCCGCGTTTTGCCGCGAAATCTTTTGTCAAGGCAAACCGGGCTGGCGTTCCTCGGCAAAAATAATGCCAAGTCGAGGAAGAAACGAGGACGAAATTAAGGCAGGCAAACTCTTCTTCATCTGGGTTAACGACCGCCTGGACACGAGATTAAAGTCCAGGGAATTACTGAACGTTGCCTCGTTGACAAAATCGAACGGAATGAGTTTGAGAGAAATCAGAAAGAGTAAGGAACTATTCATCAGTGATTGAAAACGGAGAAAGGGTTAATTACACTGTCACAGTGCCTGTTGAATCAAAAATTGCTGAAACAAACTCGGACATCTGTTTGCGAATCAACCGGGTTTTATTTATGAATAGCATAACGCGTTTCTGGCTTCTCTCCGCGTTACGTAAATGATTGATAACTCCAGGAAAAAAAAAATATTCTCGGTAATTGTTATGCGGAACAGATTGCACCGGCTCGCAATGATAGATAACCATCTACCGGTAGCCGCGTGAGAATTTACGGCTAACGTTTCACCTTAATTCGCTATCACGATTATTTCGTTACGTCACTGGTATTTATCAAGTTTACGGGATCGCGCCACTTTTTCATCCCTCTTATTTAAGCGATCCCTTCCTCTGGCTTCGTTATAAAACAGCGCCTCGTTCGGCCATTGAAAGGATCAACTAAATACCCGCGAGGATACGTTAATCGAGGGTAACGTAATTGCTGACATTGTATGCATTTTAATTGCAAATTTTATATTCAGAGAAAATTAATGACACTGATCCTTTCGTTCACTTACTATAATACCTTGAACATTTCTAATCACCCTTTCATCTCCCTTCTCTCTAACTAAACGCCTAGTTTAGTTAATTTAATATCAGAAGTCACTAACTTTCCTAATATTACAAACTAAATTAATTCTAAGCAGCTTATGTAACTTGGATTCTACACTAATCTACGCGTAGAAAGGTACATTAATTCGAACTTACCGAGAGTATAAATTCCAAACTGAAATTGATTTCTAACGTTACTTTTCAAGTATACTTCAACGTCAAACGTGACTGGTAAGTATTCTCTGTGAACCGTGCATTCCTGAAATTTCCCGGCTACTCTACTGCATCCTAGACGATAGTAACGTATGCGCCAGACTGATTTATAATACGAGCCCACTTCTTGCACAGTCTGCCGGTCAAGCAACGAGGGCACGTTGTCGTGAGACATCTTTGATGTCTGTTCCTTGGCTTTCAAATGCGTTTCACCGCGTCAGTCACGACGAGCACTCTCGTCAACGTCACGGAAACCGCCCCGTGCGAGGAAAGCGACGCGACGGGGAGACGTTAGGCACGTTCCAGGCATCGAAACACGCACCCTCCTGTGCCCGAGTCGGATTTAATTAAAACGCCGGGCAGAAGATGCGCGTCGACGATGAAACTCCGACCAGATGGGGTTTCTTGGTTGATCGATCTTCCGGAAGTAACGAACGCGACTATGTAATCTTTTTTTATCGGAGAAATCGTGAAAGCTAAAAATACCAGAAAAACAGAGTGCCATCTAAGCTCCTTTCAATATTAAATATTCAGAATCTGAAAGCATATCACTGGGGTAGTAATAGCAAAAACAAGGAAACACGAAGCGGAAAAATAATAAAGAATACATGATCCTGTATGCAAGACTTACTCACTATAGTCAAGAAAAATGTTAACAATAATCCTAGCGGACAATGCAACAGTCATTGTTATAAAAGCTTTTGCAATTCCAAGTAAATAAATAAATAAATAAAAGAGGAGATTCAGAGTTGAGCGAGTGATCTGGAAACAGTTGAGGCTAAAAATCTGAAAGCTTCTAACCGAGAGATTTCTGGGTCATCCTCGATATATAAATGCCACTAATCAAAGGAAGGAAACTATTAACGAAATGCATCCGCCATTGATCGATCGATCGGCAAATACCAGGAGAAGAAGCCGTGTACCATCTATTCGTGTATTTCGTGAGATAGGTAACGTGCATTCATGCATCCATCTGCAATTAGCAATTACCACGATTCAGAACGGAAGCCAACTGATTTTGATTAGTTACAGTTCTGAGACGTAACGCGTGCGAGCGTGCGAGGATTCAATCGAGACATTGAATAGGACAAGATGGAATAGAATCATCCAGGGGATATAAATAGAATATATTTACATTCAAGGAAAAAAATATTCTTTGCTGTTCATTTAGCTTCCGTGCAACTCGGTCATAGTATCAATTTACGTCAAACTTTGCACCCGTTTTTGTTCCTCTATTTAAATAATCGTATCGATACTGTGTTAAAGGAGATAACTAAAACCAACCTTCAATTATACTAATTGACGTTCGACGGTTCGCAATAAAGCAACGTTTATTCCGTCTTAAGAACACAACTCGATCGTTGGTTGAGTGGAAGCTTGAAAAATTCATTTAAAACGCGCGATTATCCGACGAGCAAAGCGGGCGCGACGAAAAAACGTTCACCGAAAGATAATCGTTACCGAATCAATGAACGGGAAAGTCATTTAGCCCGGGAATCCAGGCACGCGACCGCATTCACCAGCGACAATGAAGACATCAACGAGATATAAGTTTAATTGGTACTCTCGCCGGGCTTGCTCCAATTACCAGACGATGCTCTGTTCGTCTGCGGGTAGTGCATAGTGTCCTAAAGCGGCGCAAACACAATGCATTCTTCTCCGTTTCGTTAAAAACCAAGGAGAACGCGAAGACGAGCCAACAATCGAGTCGTCGAGCGAAGAAGCCTGGCGGGCACTTGCCAAGAATCGACTGCCGCCAGGAAAGGCGAAGAACTCTTTTAATTTGGCAGAATGGCGAACGAGCGAAAAAATGCGCAAGTACCTCGATGAAAACGTAAAAGTGATCTCCAACTGTGATTAGTGGGACGAACAGAATTTTCTGTATACCGTAAGTACCTACTCGTTTTTAGTTCGTTGTTTCCTACCTGTGCCAACGTTTCTTGTTTCATAGATATTAAACGAACCTGGTGATCACTTGGTCAAGTACTCACCTGTAACAGAAAAACAAAGAAAAATTAATAAAATCCTTTTGTTATCATTGCTGTACAAAAGAATAGAAAATATCATCGGGTCCCAGCTGGCGGTTCGATTCACTCGTCGATAAATACATCGTGAGCATAGCTTACGAGAATTTATATACGAATCATTTCTAAGTGCGTGAGAAATTGATTGGAAACAGATAAATGGCACCTCGAAGTGTCGCGAACTCCGGAATTCAGGGCAGGTAGCGAGAGGTTTACGAAAATGGTACCAGTTCCGGTGAAACGAGGGACGAAGAGGATGGAGGAAAAAAGGAATGGCAAATCGCGTATACGAAAGCAAAGCCGTGAAGCGGGTCTCGAGTGTTTCAAGTTGGCAAGCCGCGAGGCAGCTTCGGCACTTTTGCGGCTCGAGTGTCGCGGCAGCGGAAGAAAAGATTTCCCTCTTCACCGTCAACAACTTGCTCGTCTCGAAGAAGCCAGACCGAAGTCAGCGATTCCTATCGTCGACACCGACTACACCGACTTATTGCTTTCCATTGCCAGAAGCATCCTTGGAATGACCCCTCGATCCGTCCCTCGAGAGAAACCGTTCTGACATTTGCTTCGATCCATGCTTCGAATGACCAGAGGATCCTCCAGTTGACATTTAACAGGCGGGGGTCAATCAGCTCGACAAATTCGATGTAATTAATATCATTGTAGACGTTTAGTGGAAGGGGAATGCGGTGAGTCTCCTCGGACGCCCTTAGCTCGGGTCGGTGACCGCCAGGTGGCAGCGGAATTGAATCTGTTCTCGCTGGCGGTCCCCCGGCATGCAATTCAAATATCATGAGTTCCGAAAAATGAAGTTATAGGCATCTGGGGCAGGGATCGTCTGTCGTCAGCCCCACTGACGAGTCTGGCAGACGATCCCGAGATAAAGCCTTTTTCTGTCCCTTCATCATATTAACTGTGCAAGGTAGAAGGGCATCGCGAAGCACAAAGATTACATGTCACGACTCTAATCTCTCTCTCGACGACTGTGATTAGAGCGATTAACTGAGGATTATAGGCGCGGGATGCAATTAAAAAGGGGTATCGATAACGCTGCAAAGGATATCGATCCTAAGGTGTTTACCCGAGTGAAACGAACCTTTCAAAGGACACGGAAACCGCGAGAAGAGAGGGCAAAGTGTGCTCAATCCTGAAGATAGTCTCAGATGCGAGGATTTCATGGACCTATGCTCACTCTACTTTCTATCTTTTTCATTTTCTCTCTGCAACCTACTTCGGGGAAAGATACTCGTAAAAGAAATCCACCGCGTTACATAAACACAGCTCCACGGAACGGCAGGCAAACACACCTGCGTCGGTTGCACGGGTAACGTTCTCCGGAAGAAGCTCCTCCACCTGTGGCGAATGGGGAATCAATCGCATCCCCTGTCGCGTTCCAACGATCAACTGGAAACTTTAACTTCGAGAGGGAGTCCGTGAAAGGGAGGAGCCGATATCTTCCCTCATCCATGGCAACCATGGATCTAGAATTCCATCGGTCACGAACTTGCGACAACGATAAACTTCTGGGATTCGACGATCGTAGGATGGTGGAAATTGTTTGCGAAGGAAGGTTTGGAGGATATCTTTTGGAATTTCTTGGTCCTTCCAACGGAATAGATTGTAATTTAAATCAAGGATTACGTACACGCAAACAACAATTATTAATACCTTCATCCATAACACTGTTTTCTTTCGCTCCTCGATAGAAATTCTGAAGAATCTGCGTTCCAAAGAGAACGCGTCCTGTCAAAACAAACATGATGATCCAGTAGCTGGAAAGAGCTCTCAACGATGGCTGCCAGGGCGTTTTAACACACTTCCGTCTGGTTCGATTATGACGAATCGTCGATCGATGAAAGCACGGACGGAAGTAGGTTCGTTAAACGACGCAAATCGTCGGAAACGGCTGTACCGCATTGCGAGACCGCATTACATCCAGCCGACCAACCTGCTACCGCCCATAATTCACTACCTTCCATAGTTGCTCCTCCTCCATGCCCGTTTTATTACAGGGCGTGTAACGACTCGTAGCACAATACCCTTCTTACAACCCGTTTTCTTTACCATAATCGTTCAATAACTCGCTTCCGAAACAGTTACTCTGATCACCAGCATTGATCATCAAAATAATCTGACAGTAATTTTATTACAACTCTTATCTTCGCATTCGCTTCCCAGACTGGAAAAACGTTTGACGATGTGGCTGGTCGCGCGTAGCCTCGCAAGAGATGGAATGGTGTCGTTTTAATTTAAGTGCAAGCGTCGGCTGGAAAACGAACACGCTTTCTTTTCGACGATTCATCTTGGTCTGGCGAGACCGTTTTGTCTCGAGGAAGGAATAATAGCGATAACCTTCTCCTGAGAGCTGTTGCGGTAATGTTTTAACAGAAATAAAGACGAGCTTCTCTAGTTTAAGGGTACATTAAGTTGGCAATTAAATTCATAATGTTTTCATGTAATATTTTACTGTAACCCTTTGATAATTGTCATAGTAATTTATAATTCCGTACATATTGCATTATATTCTTGATAAAAAAACACAGCTATAAGTGCACAAATTTATAATATATGCTTTGGAAGTTGAAATTAGTACTTTTTTTACTTTAAATTAATAACACTCTGTGTAAGCTTAAGAATGCCCAGTCCCTCTATTTCGTGAACAAAAATCCGAAATACTCCACAGAAAAATTTAACGATCTGCGTAGCAGCGTATACGTTGAACGTATCGCTATGAATGTAGTCCAGGAACTTTTATGATCCCATTTCGGTAAGCGAGCAATTACAGAACGATTTCATCGCACATCTTGGCGCATCATCGTCCACGATATTATTGATTTCCCTCGGCACACGGTGTCTCTCACTTCCGCATAATCCTCGTGATTACCAGCCAAAATCGATACTCAAACATCGCCCAGTGGTGATGATAAAAAAAATTGTTCGACAACTCGGAATATCTTTCACAATCACTTGGGATAAGACACAGTTCAAAGAAACGTAGGTATACCTACGTTGGAAAACTTTGTCGTGTTTTTCTTGGACCGCGAAAAACGGAAACTACTCGTCGAAACGAGCCATCATAGTCGTGTAGCGAGGAATAACGAAGAAGAAAAAGTTCGGTCGCCGGTTCGATGTAAAAGGAAGGTTTTGGTATCGAAACTTTGCGTTTCATTTGGTGGTTTCGCAAACGGCCGAAAGTTGCCAAGTGTTCCCCGGCGAAAAATTGGGCCAAACAAGCATCGATGGCGTGGCAAAATTTTGCATCGCTTCGCTCGAACACGATGGACGTTGAATTGTACCGGCCCAATTCCAATTCTATCCGGACTCGATCGAATAAATATCAAAAATGATTTGTTTCGACGAGAATCGACGATGCTCTCGACGTGTACGGTTTTAACATCGTTTAATTACGGAACCGGATAATAAAAGAGTTTCGAGAAAATTGCATCGTTTTTAAGCTTTAATAAAAATATAAATTTTATGAAACAAAGCATGATGTTTAATGGATCTGCCATTTGCACGGTATGAAAAAAAAAAAAATGGTAAAATAATGGTTGTAAGAGCCATGCAGTGTAAATGCACAATCTTTCAAACGAGGTATCATATAAAGAAAGTTATTTAGAATGTAAGCTACTGGTTAAGTAGAAGCGTCTAGCGGGCTAGTATAAATGTCAGTGCTTAAAGAAGGCTCGGTAATGGATTCATTCGTAAAACGCTTTGAGAGGTCGGCCAGTTTCCCCGGTAGTTTTGTGAAGTGAAATTCTTCGGCGTTACTTCTAGCAACGGGGTAAATTCTCGAGGCGAGACCCGCTAACGGAAAGCTCGATAAAAGGAAGGAAAGTCGGTGGAAGTTTAACAAAGAACACGGTGGGAGAAGAACTTCCGGATCGTTCGGTGTCGCGGTAAATCGCAATGTTCTTTCGCAAACGAATTTCTGAAGGAGGTATCAAAGAGCGTCTTAAAGTTGATGGAAGGTTAAACTGTCTGTGATCTCTCCTCTGTTTAAGCTTTACTTCGACACGACAGTCCGACTGTAACATTTTCTCGTTTTAACAGAATTATATACAACGTTCAGGAAGTCGCGTTCTCCTAAATGGAAGCTACGGTGTCTGTTTGGCATCGTAAAAGCTTCTTATCCCAACGGGAGGTCCCGCGAGTCGACGAAAATCGCGTTAGCGAAGTAAAAGCCCGAGTCATAGTGGTTCGAAAGGCAGAAAGCGAGGGCAAACTCGCGAATACGTGTTCCCTGCGGTTGTTGTCCACTTTTTCCAGCGCAACTTGCGCCACCCTAGTCGAGAGTGTACGAAGCAAAGCAAACTAAGCTAGGCTCGTAGGTGCTTAGAATTTTTTTCACCATTTTTCCTAACCATCGCTCGCTAATCTAATATTTGTCGTTCCCTTTGTACAGTGTTTTAGAAGCGTTCAGGAAAACGCACGGGCGTACCTCGTTAACTTTCCAGATTCTCTACCGTGTGTCTGAGGCTCGCTAATTTGCCTGGATGGAATTGTTGCAACCACCGGTTCTCCGGTAAACTCGATTTTCTTCGTTAATTACGGTAGGTATCGACAACGAATACGGGGCCAACAAGTTATTCAATGTAATTACTTGCACGGTTACCCGGAGAATGATGATGCTTTTTGTACGAGGAAGGCTAATGTATTGTCAATACGTAGGATATTTTCAGCTTTCGCTTTACTGACTAAGTGGAGTTGTAATTAAATTACCTCCCTTAGTCTGTTCCCGTCTTATTTTTTTCTCTGTGTAGATCGTAGTAAATTGATTTTTATAAAATGAGAGTTTAATAATTCGCGAGCCATTGGTAACCTACGCGAATACCCTTTTACTTATCTAAAACTCTATGTGTCTATACGCAGGCTAGATAAAAAAAAAAACAACTGGAGACGACAAAAAAAAAAACGATACCTTCGTCGCCAGAAGTTGAGGAGTTGTCCTCTGGTTCAGGCGACGATCCTGGCGACCCAG